AACGATGCTGCAGCACACCCTCCCGTCCCACCGCCCCACCCACACACTGGACAAGTCTGCACAAGTATTATTATGAAATGCGCGACGCGTCGCCGTGAAAAACGATCGACTCATGAGCCCGCAATTCAGGCGGTAGGTCCATTTCGAAAAGGAACTGCCCTCCAGCCTTCGAGCTTCGAGCTATAAAGAATGCGGCAAGGTGGGGCCATACAACTCACGAGAAAATCAAACGAAGACCCACGATTCACGGCGGGACCCCAGCCAGGCGGGGTCTCCCCTGGCCCGCATCCTCATGCTGCACGTCTTCCTCCTCCTCCTCCCCGGCCTTTTTCCCCCTCTTCCTCCACCCTCTTCCCCCTCCGTTACTCCTCTCAAGCATCCTCCTCCTCCACCCTCTTCCCTCTTCCCTCTCCTCCTCCTCCTCCTCCTCCTCCTCGATTGCGGCAGAAAGGTGAAGGCAAAGGGCAAAGGCCACGGATGCGCCCCCCTCCACACAGCCATGTCGCAGCCGCTTTCGTGGATGGCATAGTGGAGGCGCTCAAGACCAAGGTGCAGGAAAACGACCAGACGATGCAGCGCGTGACGAAGACCCTCACGGAGTTCATGGAGCACCTGGACCAACCCTGGGGACCGACTTTCGCGACAGGGGTTTTCCTGCAGTGCAAGATCCAAGAGGCCTACAAGCCCTCGGACGAGGAGATGGAGACGGAGCCGCGCAAAGCCGAGGTCATGTACACTATCAACACGTCGCCGTCGTTCAGGGCAGCACTATTCGAGCAGAACCTCGACCAAGCCCAGTGCGAGAGGTTCCTAGGCTTCAGGAGGGACATGTTCAAGCAGTCCCTGGGGGTGGCGCTCGCGCTCCTGGGCGCCAAGAAGAGCCGCTCGGGGGGCCCGACACCGGGACTGGAGATGGCAGTAGAAGCCCAGCTCAGCAGGCGCCGACAGCAAACCAGCCGCTGCCACTAGAGAAGCTCAGCAACCCTCAGCAGCCAGAAGCTGCGGGCCCCGCGAGCGCCCCCTCAGGACATCGAGACGAAAGCCTTGCAGCGATAGGCACCCCTGTCCCGCCGTACACCAGAGTGGAACTACTAGCTATGCAGAGCAGCAACGACCTCGAGCGATATACGATACTCAAAGACAAAGCGTCACGATTTGGGGGCCGCATGGCCGAAATACTACGCATGGCTACTTACTATCGGGAACGACGCTCGAGGGAACACTATCAGGTCATGGGACCACAATGAGATAAGGTTGGGCACAACATCTGCCAATCGAATCTCACAGTTACGGTCTAATTACCCCTCCCACTACTATCTTCATCACTGTTAGGCGCAGTGGCCCCAGTTGCAGGACTAGGCGAACAACTATGGAAACATGATCTCACGAAGAAGAATTTGTACGACTCCGAGCGGACCTACTACATACGGTAACCACTTTGTGACGACGGCGGACCGACATCGGCGACGCACTCCACCTACCAGATGGGGGGGGGGAATAAAGGGCCCCACAAGGATAGCCACTACGAAGCCTCGGGAGATACAAGAAAAGCCATACCAGGACCAACCAAGACAATAAACAACAAGAATTGGAACGACCAGGACTCCCAACGTTACCCAAACGTTCCGCTTCTTTCCACAACCACCGACACAACTGCGGTCCCACGTCTGCTCCCTCCTACTGCGTGGTACCCACAAGGTAACAACCAGGCCAGGCCAGGAACAGGGCGACTCCAACCCCACCAGGCCCGCCTCCCACCGCAGTCGTTTCTACTCGACCAGAATTTACGGCGTCGCCCCACGCGTGGGACCACAGTTGGAGCTACTACCGACACCGCGGCCCAGTTGGCATGGCGCAGCAGCGCAGCCCAACAGCCTGGGTGGCGGCCGCGGCGGCCGAGCCCAACTCCCCAGCGCAAGAGTCGGCGATGGAGATGGGAGAGGTGGCGATCCAGAAACCAGCCGAGCGTGGAGGCGGACCAAATGACCAGGTCTTCGGAACCATGCAGTACCGCCTGGCGAAGTGCCGCAAGACGATGCAGAGCACCAGTGCGAAGTACGACGACCTCATCCAGCACAACCAGGTGGTACTACTAGTCTACGGCCTGCACAAGCAGCAGGAGCGCATCACGATGAACCTCACGAGGATCGCGGCCAGCAGGAGCCCGAACCAGTACGAGATCGCGAGGACCCACGTGGCGGAACTGCTACGGCAGCAGTTGCACGAGTACAATAAGGCCATCGAGCACTGCCGCGGGGTCGAGATCATCCTCGGCAACCAGAGTCGTCTCCACCAGGGGCCATACCCGTGGGAGCTCAACTACGAGAGACTTCAAATCAATGAGCTCGAGGACTGCTACACTAAGTGGACGGAGAGCAGCCACGGATGGGGCTATGACGAGGTGAAGATGGTGGACCAGAGCGGGCTCAGCAGCCCGCAGCAGGTGTACGACAGCAGCAAGCGCAGCAAGCAGCAGCGCCCCAAGCGCCCGACGCCCAGCAAGAGCATCCAGGGGTGGAAGCCGTATGTCAAGGTGCTGCCAACGCAGCTGCAGCTCCATCCCCCACCCCCGCCAGGGATCCCAGCGGAGCCGACAGCTCCGAGCCCGAGCGGGGACCTCCGCCTCCGCGATGCAACGGTCGCCGAGAAGGCGGGGTGGGGGCTGGGGCTGCTGTCGTGAGCATTGACTCCAGCCAGCGCCTGCCCTCTTGTATCTCTTTCGGGCCCGCCTGCCCTGCGACCTCCGTCAGCACTGACCTGCCAATGAGGCCCACTGTACGGCACGAGCAGGCAGGCGGGCCCCACTACACGTCAGTTCAGCAGCAGGGTAGGGCAGCGTCTCTTTTTTTCTCGGTGCCGCAGCGCACCAGCAGTGAGGAGAGTCGGGGGCCCGCCTCCACGGGGAGGCACCCCCGCCCGCCTGCGTCTCAGATCCAGCTCACGAAGGCAGGGTTCCGCTGCTACGGTGCAGCGGCCACCTACCATAGGGTAGGAGGCCGCGCGCACCAGGCAGCCCCCAGTACTAACAGTAGTAAAGGGGGCCTACATCCATATGTTTACCCAGGGGTCCTGCCTTTTTTAGTTGGCGAGGTAACTCAGACCCCCAAGGGCCCTCTCCTGATCCTCATCCTTATCCTCCTCCTACTCCGCCTCCTCCTCCACCCTCTTCCCCCTCCTCGTGCCATCCTCTCCCCCCCTCGTCCTCCCCGAGTTTACAAAACCAGCCATCGGTGCTGGCCTAAACAAGCACCTCCACAGCCGCCGCCTCATCACCCTTCTTCCCAAACATCGGCGCCGGACTGTTTGCCGCAACGTGACTCCCCAAACATCGGGACCCCTTCCTGGGGACCGGCTTCTCATCACGAGCCGTTTGTTTACGGTCCCGCGACCCAGCGAGGGCCTGGGAGGCCAGAACAAAAACGCCAAAAGATTCCCGCCGCGATCTGGTCACGACAAGGAGGTAAGGGTCGCATCATGGCAAGGCCGAGCAAGCTCAGCGCAGGCCATGCGGAAAAAGTGAGGGACAGGAAGGACACGTTCACCTCACGTGCACCTCCTACACTGGCCTCCTCTCGCGCCTTGACGAACTCGCTCCTCCTCCTCCTCTTCTTCTTCCTCTTCCTCCTCCTCCCTCTCGCCGAACTCCTCCTCGCCGCGAGGGGCCCGTCGGGGGGCCTCTGCGGGTCTTCTGCTGCGTGGGGTGCCGCCCATGCGGGGGCTCAGCGATCGCGCCTCGGAGCCCCTCTGCAGCGCGCAGACGGGCAGGAGGGGAAAATAGGGAGGTGGGTGAAACTGATGACGATGACGATGACGGTGATGGTGAGTGTGATGGTGATGGTGATGGTGATCAGGACGGTGGCGGTGGTGATGGAGGTGGTGGTGATGATGGTGATGATGGTGGTGGTGATGATGATGATGAGGATTATGATGATGATGATGATGATGATGCTGATGATGATGATGACGATGATGGGGGTGATGATGGTGACGCTGGTTATGATTATGAGTATGATGAGGTTGATGAGTATGATGATGATGCTGAGGAAGCTGATGATAATATAACAATGATGATGATGCTGATGCTGATGATGAGTATGATGATGCGGATGATGATTGCATGATGATGAGGATGGTGAGGATGGTGATGCTGCTGATGCTGGTTAAGGTTGTGATGATGATGCCCAGGTGCAAAGGAATAATAACATGTTACTGGGAATGTCGATGTTGATGATGACGGTGGCGATGGTGTGATGGTGGCGATTGCCATAATTAACGATGACAGTAGTGGTGACGATGACAGACAGACAACCACTTGCGAGCCAATGTTCTTTGTCTGTGACGGTCGGAGCGATGAAGGAAGAGGAGGAGGAGGGTGATATAATGGCGATGCTCATGATGATGCGTGATGATGCGTGATTATGATGATGCTGATGATGATGATGATGATGATGCTGCTGCTGCTGATGATGATGATGATGATCACAATTCGACGGCACGGCATTTGACGGCGGAGTCGGAGTAGCAACAGGAAGCAGGGACCAGAGCGGACGTGGGGGGCACGGATGAGGAGAGGAAAGGACAGGGCAGGGCAGGATTGGGACGAGAGGGGGGGTGAGGGGGGAGAAGGGGGCGGAGAAGGGGTGTGGGGGGTGGCTTAGGAGAGGTGGGGAAGGGAGGCTGGGAGGTGAGAGCGGGAGGAGAGGCGAGAGGGATGGGGGGGAAGCTGCTCCAAATTGTTCAAAAAGCGTTGGGGCCGTGGATCGCGTGGGGGTATGGGAATGGGCTGCCCTTCGCAGGGCGTGGGACGGGTCGATCGCTTGAGGGGGAGGGTTCGGTAGGCGTGGGGAGAGGGCCACAACGGGCCATCTGGCGGAGTGGCAGGTGGCATCAACTAAGAATTCGCCGATTCGCGAGGATGATCTACGAATTGACGATGAACAAGATGGACGACTATCAAGATCTTTGTCATCGATCCACGGGCTCCTTGACGGGCACAGTGGGTCAAAAGAAGAACTGAAGATTCTGGAGATGGGGGATTGCGGGGATATGGAGTTGCTCAAAGACCAGGATGGAGAGAAAAGAAGGCGTGGCATAGAAACATCTCGGGGACGCGCTAACGCGGGCCAGCGCTGACCACGATCAGCCAAGGCCAGGTCGCGAAACCCGGCTGGCGACGAAGTAGCTCGCAAACCTGGGGCGAGGGGGTCGGCTCCACGTGTCTCCCGAACCCAGGTCAGCCAGAGGGGATTGGCTGACCCCCGTTACGCGCGCCCAGAGGTTTGTGCAGGCCGAGGTGCCCAGGTAGGAAGTGAGGCCGAACTCGATGCTTTGATCCAAGGCCCCAGAGAGGCCCCCAAGGAGCCCCAAAGAGGCCTCCAGGAGGCTCCAAAGAGGCAGCCCGGGCACAGAGGCGGAATGTGGGAGCCGCAAATAAAGTATGCGGGCCTCCGCCCGAAACGTAGTGCACATATGTTGCGGAACGTCTCACACTCGCGAGCCCAATCAATCGAAGGATGTACACTATACTACGCGCGGTAACTGTTGCGAACATACTTTCATGGTCATGTCCCTTTCCCCGGCGGTCTGCTCGGTGTTTCTATTCCCCGCAATATTGTAGCGTCATGGCAACCGTGCTCTGTGGCGTTGGAAGGCACCATCTGACCTGATCCGACCTGCTGGGCGGCTCCGGCAGCTGCGCCGCGCGAAGGCCAGCATCACGTGCCCCTCGCCCCCGCCTGCGATCCCCCCTCGTCCTCCGCGAATGTGCAAAATCAGCCATCGGTGATGGCCCAGCCATTCCGTGCCGCCTCTGCGGGCAGCCGCTGATCGGTCTGCCCCGCGCCTGGAGAAGATTCCACCACCCGCTGTCACACAGCGCCATGGCAGGAATGCTCTGTAGCATCGGATGCACCTATTGACGCACTAAGCTGTTATGTCCTCCAAGCGTGCACTTTGAAAGCCTGCAGTGCAAGGCGGGCCAGCTATGGGGGGCCAACCTTCTAGAACAGCAGGGGGCTTCTTAAAGGAAACGGAATTCTGACAAATGGCTACGCTACGTAAGAGGTGGGACATCGAAGAAGTCTCCCGAAACCCGGACCCCTCCGCTCATGGTTCAGCTGCATCGCGGAAGCGAATGCAGGACGGGCTGTCCAATTTTGCCACGACCCGAGTGAGGACTCAAAGTCTTGTCGTCGTCGTCCTCCTCCTCCTTATCTGCTCCTCTCCCGTTGCCTCCTCCCAAGCTACAACTGTCAGATCAAATGCAGCTACGCGTGCCGCTGGCTAGCATTGCAGCAGATCCTGGCCAGGTCGACCAGGGGCTCCTGCGTGCAATAGAGCCCCCTCCTCCTTCTCCTCCCACTCATTCCTCTCCCCCGTCTCCTCATTTTCATCCCTCAACAGCCCCCTCGTCCTCGTCCTCGTTCTCGTCCTCGTCCTCCCTCGCCCTCCTCCTCCTCCTCCTCCTCCTCCTCCTCCTCCTCCTCCTCCTCCTCCCAGCAACCCCACTCCGGAAACCTATGGAGAAGGCGCGGGGAGGTCGGAGGGCGGCCCTTCCCGATCCAAGACTGCAGGATCGACCGACACGAACCACACCCACCGAGGACGCCCCCGTCGACCAATGGGTCCAAAAAGAAGGATGCTGTGATCGACCGACGGCTTCTCTGATAAACTGGTGGAGGCCGCTGAAATAAGATCCAAGTAGAATGGGTCGGAAGATCGCGCCGCATCACCGATGCATCGGCGACGCTGGGATGGGGGGAATCGGGCCCTGGATCGTGCCGCATCGCCGATCTGTCGGCGACGCGGCGCGACCCTCCGAACCCATCCACTACAGCTCCATTTTCGGCAGCCTGGACGGTGGTGTCGGGGGTACGCCAGCGTCGCACACGTCGGGCGCGTCCAAGGGGAGGCGTCCAAGAGGAGAGTTCGCAAATCATGGCCAGAAGTACGTGCGCGGACGAATGGCGGACCAGGGGGGGGGCTTTGAAAGAAGAAGAAGAAGAAGAAGAAGAAGAAGGAGAAGAAGGAGAAGGAGAAGGAACACCTCCCCCCCCCCTTAAGGCATCACCCCCCTCTTGGACGCCCCCGGGCACGCCTCGGCGAGGCGCGGCGCCGCGTCAGGCCGCCCCCGACTCGGTCGACTCGGTGTGGGCGCGCGGTATGAGTCTGGCCGACTCGGCCTCCTGGCGCGCTGCCACCGCGCGGGCGTACCGCCCAGATGCTCGGCGGAGGCAAGGAGATGGTAATGGCCAAAAACGCGGGCGTATCACACACTCGCTCGGGGAACCACGCCGAAGAATTGAGAATTGGGCGATCGGAGCCCCTGAGTGCATGTTGCCCCTGTGGAATGATCGATGAGCACGACCAAGACTGAACTGGAAGCGTCGGTGTCGACCTGGGTCATCGCCCACAAGCCAGACCTCTCCCAAGATGCATTCTGACTAGAGCTTCGAGGAGAATCCAGCGGTGGCGACGTGAGCTCTCCAGGACGAGCAGCCGTACGGTACCTTTTCCTCCATTGAGCCCCTGGATGCAAATAAAGGCCCCCCCTGGGCCATCGGCCCCTCTTGCAGCCGCCGAGATGCCAGCGCCACGCATGGGAAGAACGCCAAGCCGGCCAATGTCTGGACCAGCACCAGCCAGCCCAGGGCCGCCACGTCCGAGCCGCACGTCCCGTCGTGCACGGCCTCGAGGTAGAGCGGGTGCACGCGCCCCCACGAGAGGACGTCCTCGACCCTGCTCAGGCTGTGCTCGACACGGCCTACAGCCGCGGTCATGCTGCTGTCGGAGGAGTGCCAGTCGAGACAACGGCGGCTCGTGCTGGCGTTTGTCCGTTAGTTTGGGGCCTCCTGGTGGCTTCGAGGTACCCGCGTCAAAAAACTCGCCTGGATAGGCTCCGAGAGGGGTCTGGGCACCGGCTCTGATCGAGTTCGGGCCACGCGGGAGAGCCGCCGTTGTCTCAACTGGCCGTCCTCCGAAGCTGGCTCCGCTCCAACGCGGGCACAACGTTGTGATGTTGCCACTCCCGGCGTCCTCCCTCAGGAGAGCGTCGACACTGTCTCCGAGAGCGGTCGCGTTGGCGGCGGCCCCACGCTGATAGTCCAGCAGCGGGTTCACCCCAGAGGCGTTGCTCGACACGTAGAAGCTTACCAGCAGAGCCATCGTGGACTCGTTGCCCTCGAGGTAGCTTACGTAATCCACCATGTTGCTGTCGCGGTTTTCACAGAAGCTGCCCAGCGCCACGCCCAACTCCAGCTGCGCGGCAGCAGCTGCGGCCGCGGCCAGCGCTGCGGGGGCCAAGAACGCGGGCACGAGACAGTGCATGCAACAGCCTGCCTTCGAAGGGCACAGATAGGGGGGGGGACAGGCTCCAGGGGGAAAACATCCACATGGAATCGGCGGTACATCGCACATAGATCAGCGATAGGGTGCCGATAGCGAATCCGAACGTTTCTGGGCGGGGTGAGCTGTCGGGCCCCCATCGGCGATTAGTGGGCGATCGGGGTCCCATGCATCCCCCCCTGAGCCTGTCCCCCCCCCCCCGGCGTTGCCCTTGAGCCTTCCAGCTCCTCCTGGATAGCCTCGCTGCCGCCGCCAGCGCCAGCACGCAAGCCACCATCAGCCCCAGCGGCACCAGGAGGCCGAGGAGCACCAGCCGGCGGAAGCCCGCAGTGGTGGACTTCACCGCCCCGATCCTGTCCTAGAAGATGAATGAACAAAACTGCATATAGTAGCAGATCGACCACAAGAAACCTTCCGCAAGAAAGCTAACCCTGAGACCCCTAGACGTCCATTGATTTTTCGCGTGGGGACGTCACGCCCTCCATCGCAAATCCAAATCCATCGAAACCTCAGAATCCCAGGGCACCCTGGAGGCAAGCAGGGCGTTTCCTGGCATGGGATCCCACTGTAAGCGTCAAACTTTCGGAGGTCCGCGCGGACTTCTCGCATCCACGCTGGACCTCCATCCCTGGCGCGCGGAGCGCGCCAGGGACGGCGCCGGAGGCGCGGCCCAGCGTCGATCCGAGGAATCCGCGCGGACCTCTGCGCAAGTGTGATGTTCATGCTGCTTCTTCTGACTATTGTCTTATGTTTCATCTGCTTCCTCGTATTAATATTCTTAGTGATGTTATTATGAACCATTTTCATCGTATTCTTATTATTATTATTATTATTATGATTAGTCGTAATATGAATATCATTACTGTTGCCAGTATTACTATCAGTCGTATTTTATTAGTACCATTGCTATATCCCGTATAATCATTACGACTGTTACTATTATTATTCGTAGTATGATTAGTATTAGTAGTGTTGTTGCTACTATTATTATTATTATTATTATTATCATTATTATTATTATTATTATTATTATTATTATTATTATTATTATTAATATTATTATTAGTATTATTATTATTGTAATAAGTATTATTATGAATATTATTACTGTTACTATTATTATTCGTCTCCGATCTCCGGCACCGGCCGAACAGTGTCCGCGTACCGCTGCGCCTGCAGGGCGAAGGCGGACAGGCTCCCGTTCGCGGAGCGCACATACGCCTCGACGGGCGGCTGCGCGGCAGCGGGGCAATCGCGCGCGAGTGCGCCGAGGGCGCGCCCGATCGCCCAGCCGTCCGAGAGCAGGTCGTCCCCGAGCTGCGCGGCGACCGTGGCGTCGGCGCCAAGGCGGCCCGTGGCGCCCGCCGACGTGCAGACGCACATGACAGCTCCCGCCGCGACCACCGCCACCGCCAGCAGGCTCAGGACGCACGTCGTCTTCGGCGACGGACGCCGCGAGGAGCGCCGCGCGGGTCTGATGTCACAAGGAGAGGCAAGCGGCACGGGCACAAGCTTTCGGGGAGGTCCGCGCGGAGTTCGGGGATCAAGGCGCTGGACCCCAAGCCCTCCCCTCTGCGAGGCGCGCCTGGGGCGGCGCAGGAGTCGCCGCAAGGAGGGGATCCGAGAAATCCGCGCGGACCTCCAGGAGCTTCTGCTCAACTCATGCAGCTTGTTCTTCTTCGATCATGCAGGACTGGCACAGCACCCAGAGGACTACCGCGGCCCCGAGCGCGAGCAGTACGCCCGGCCACGAGCCACAGCTGAGCGCGAAGTGCCCCCACTGCGCGCGGGAGCTGCCGGGGGCCGGAAAGTCGGGGGCGAGCTCCTGGAAGATCGGGAGCCAGATCTGCTCGCCGGGGATCCAGATCTGCCTGCCCGAGTCCCACGGCATGGCCCCCCCGGTCCTGCAGCCCGTGGCGGCTGCGGTTTCATGAAGGGAGGGCCATGGGTGGTGACGTCCCAGCCTGAGCCAGAGCGGGTCCGGGAGACGACGACGAGACGAGCGCCGACTATCGCTCTCGCGGGCCCGCGGGAACGCCCGTTGCCGGCGGCGGCGGCGTGGCCATGGCCCCTCATGTGCGACAGTCCTCGAGGCCGGGTCGGGGAGGCTGTGAGAAGCACTGCAAGCGGAGCTCGGGCTCGCAGGCATCCTGCAGCTCGCAGCAGGGACCCCACAGCCTGGGCCCGGCGGCTCGCGCTCCCTGACGCTGGGAGCAGCTGACCGAAGCGAAATCAGCAACTCGCAAGCCAGGCTTGCCCACGGGAGACAAGCGAACGGGTGACAATGACGATGACGATGTCGTGGACGATGACGATCATCGTCATCGTCGGTGCCACGGTCGGAACTCATCGCAGAGGACACCCGAGGGGCACACGGATCTCTTTTTGAGGGCAGCCCGCGCACCAGGTCACAGGGGCGCCCTTGATGTGGCAGGGTCGACCTGGCCATCAGGCCCGACGGTGGGGGCATCGGCGGAGAAATCTGACTTTGAATTTGGGTTCGGGTTAGGGGAGGGTGCAGGATACCGGGGGGGCTGCCTTGGGGTCCTCCGTGGGGGCAGGAGAAGGAGAGAAGAAGGCGGACGAGGGGGAGGAAGAAGGATCAGTGCAGACCCGAGACTTATCGATGATGTTAGAATCAACCCTCCCTCCAAACTCCCTCTACATTGGCTCCTACAAAGATTCATGCCCACTGAAAGAATTGAGTTGCCCCATTGGGATTGGGAGACAACCGTGAGAAGATTATGAAGCGTGCCAAAACACAATTCTCGGAACTTCAACGCCACGAATCAACCTGACTGTTACGCCTTGACGATCCTGAACCGTGCCAGACCAGTCCTGAGACTTCAACACCCCGAATCAATGTAACTGCTGTGCCCTGACAATCCGAAACCCTTCCAACACGCACTTTCTGGCACGTTAACCATGAATCCGCGAAGCTCTTACAATGTTGTGAGACGAATGTGTGGCGCTATGCCGAGAACCACCGTATGAAAAGGAACCGCCCTCAACCCGTGAAACTCTTGCAAATGTGTAAGGCGAGTGTGCGCGGCGCTAAAACGAGAACCACACTTTGGGAACGGCCCGCCCTCAATCCGCAAAAAGAATACAGATCTGAACACGAATGTGGGCAACGCTAGGGCGAGAACTACACTTTGAAAACCCACCCGCCTTGAATCCGCGAAACTCTTGCAAATTGTGATCACGAATGTGCGCGGCGCTATGGCGAGAACCACATTCTGAAAACGGCCGACCCTCCATCCGAGAAACTTTTGCAAATTTCAAGCTTCAGGATCAGAGGAAGTCTCTGGCGAAACGCCGGGCCCGCCCTTTCGACCAGCCTCGGCGCGCAACAGCGAGACCAGCCTCGGCGCGCAACAGCGAGGAGTGATTCATGAGGGACAGGAGCGGAACAGGTGCAGAGGCAGGAGGGGAAATAGAGGGGTCGGCGGAGGAGGGCCCAGAACTCCGACGTCGTGATTCTTGTTCACAATGTCGACCCCCAGAAGTCTGAACCCCTGCCCTGGGACCAGTTTTTCATCTCAGGCCGTTTTATGACGGTCCCCTTGCTCAGTGAGGGCCCCCAGAAGCTGGAAATGGCCGAAAGCACCTCGTCGTGACTCTTGCACGACGAGAGGAGGTGGCGAGGGCCGGGACAGAAGAAGGACGAGAAGGAGCGGGAGTTACCGACAGGTGAAGAAACGCAGATGTTCGGTGCCAACTCGTGGGAGCTTTCCATATCATCTTGTTGGCTCCTGCGGATCGAAGCTAATCAACGCCGATCGGCACTAGTCGACGCTGAATCGACGCTAATCGACGCAAACCGACGCTAAATCGGCGCTCTCTCGTTGATGCCTAGAAGCTGATCGGCGCTAGCGCACTCAATCTAAAAACTGAATTACAAGGGTATACGAGGCTCCCACGATTTGCTACCGGCCGGATGGGGCAGGGGAGTGGGTCGCGCCGGGCACGCGCGCTCCAGCATTTGGACGACCGCTCGGTGGCAACTCGAGAGAGGGCCGTCCCTCTGGCTCTGTGGACGGCCACCAACCGCTACGGCAGGGTCGCGTCGTGCCGACTTCGGCGTTGGTTTCTGACACCGCGGGGATCGTTCCACCTTGAACGATCGGCCGTTTCTGAAACGTCAAATCGTTCAACATCGACCGATTCTGGGTCGCCAGCGGCGTCCAACGTTGGAACGCCCGCGGCGGGGTCGCCGCCGGGGTAGAGGGGGGGAGGGGGAGGCGAGGTGAGGAGGCTCCCCCCCCCCGACCGTGCGCGGCGTCGACTCCGAGGCGTCGCGGCGCCCCTGGTCCTCGCGTCGTCGCCGCGCACAGCGGCGGGGGTCACCGCCGTCTGCTGCACACAAGCAAGACTGCACAACGACATACTCAGCAGTAAAACAAGTTCGGTCAAATGTGCGGCCACTTCTGCAACGGCAAGATGCACATGTCACGGAATACCTCCTGGAGGCAGCGAACACGGAGCAGTTCAGGTTTGGAAGGGGCTCGCTGTCTATTGGGTCCTTCCATGGGTGCTCTTACAGCGCTCCTCGTGCACCAAGGCGCTTGTGGGGGGGCCAGAAATAAGCCTTCGCTCCTCATGTAGCTTTCATTCTGGCAGTAGCTTGGCTGTGTTCCTCCTCCTCCGAGGGCGTCGCTGGGTCTGTGGCCCTCGTGTCGTCCACTGACGGCAGGGAGGCTCCTCCCTCTGGCATGCACTCCTGAGGGGAACGTCAAGGGGTGATCAGCTCAGCGGGGAGGGGGGAACATTGACCTGGAATTGGCGATACATCGCCGACAAACCCCCGATAGCGAATCCGCACCTTCCTGGGCGGGGGCGGGCTATCGGGCCTCATCGGCAATTAAGGGTCGATGCATACCCCCCCCGAGCCTATCCCCCCTAACGCTGCCCCTGAACTCCTCCTCCCCTTCCTGCGGCGGAGAGAAACGACGGGGGGGTGGCAGAGGAAAAGGGCGAGGATCGGGTCGCACGAAAGGAGAGAAAATTACATTGGGGTTAACCAATCAGCTGACGCAGCTGGTTGTCCCGCCGGGAGGCGCCCATGTTATCGAGGAAAGCCCGTGGCGGCGGGGCCGAGACCAGCTGCACGCAGCACATTTATCGCACGCCCCCTCTCCATATCCTCCCTTTCGGCCAACCCGACAGGAGAGGGGGGATGAGCTCCAGGCACTGATGGGAGGAGGGGGGTGGGAGGAGGGAGGAGGGAGAAGGAGGAGGAGGAAAGGAGGAGGAGGTGTAGGAAGAGGAGGAAGGAGGAGGAGGAGGAGGAGGAGGAGGAGGAGGAGGAACTGCGCTGGGGGCTCCCGAAGGCGGTCGAGGCGAGGGGTTCCCCACCGGCATTCGGGGCGTGGGGGTGGCCTCTGGGTGCCAGCCCCTCCAGTGCAACCCCGCCTCCCCCTGCAGGGACGTGGCCCCTCCTCCCGTGGGTGATACGGGCATCCCACGGACTGATTGTTCCAATCCCAGTGTTTTTCTCGTCCATTTCGCTCTCTAGGCTGGGGCCATCAACGATGGGCACGGGGCGAAAAATTGACCTGGGGAAGGGGTCGGGACCGTTTCAAGAGGGCAGGTGATCATCGAGCAGCGTGGCCCAAATAGTGCCCGAAACGTTTCCAAAGGACTTCCAAACCAGCTCCAGCATACTCTCAATGAGGCCCAGCAGACGCTCACATAATAACCCAAAAAGAGCCCCAGGATGGCTCCGAGAGGCTTCCAAGACATTGAAAAAGGGGAGCAACGTTAAAAACTGTCGGGGTGACTGCTTGGACTGACCCCTGCTTTCGTCTGACTGGTGCCCCCCCCCCTCTTGTTCATTTTACGCAAAGATGCCCATGCATCAATCGCCAAGTTACGGAGCCGACCTCGGGCGTCTCTCCTTCCAGCGGCACCCCCGCACCCACTCCCAATCCAGGCGAACTACACCTGGATGAGGGCATTGGTGCAGGGCTCGGGGGGGTCGGCCTGGGGGCGAAGGCGTGGCGCGTGGGGGTGAGGCGTCATTGGGGTGCCAGCCCGCTGTGGTCCAGGGTGGCCTTCGGGGCGCTGCTTCCAAGCAAAATGCATCATCGGCTGGAGTCGCTAGGTGGCTTCGTGAGTGCGCGGCTGTGGTCCCGCGTCGTCTGCCCAGGGCCCGCGCGGCGCTGGCGCGCCCTCCATGAGGTCCTCGATCGCGGGCCCGCCGCGTGGCCTGCGTCGGAGCCAGCTGGTTGGACCATATCTAGGGCCGATGGGAATGTGAGCGCGGGGGGCTGGCGGCGCGCAGTCAGGCGCGCCGCTGCGCCGCGCGTCGAACCGAACAGCGAGGCGGAAAGGGGATTGGATCGGAGGAAGAGAGAGGGGGGGCAAGTGAGCTGAGAGGGAGTCCCGATCCCGACTCGGTCGCGACGCAGATCTGGCCAATCGCAGACGGGCCGATCCGTTCCTGTTCTGCCGCTCTCTCGCATCGGAAGCGAAATGGCCCCCCCCTGCGCCCGAGCGTCTGCCTGTCGTCCCGAGGTGATCGCAGGGTAAGAGGCTCGCGGGGCGGGTCCATCTGGCGGTCGGCCCTGCGCCCCTGCTTCTGATCCCCGCCCCGAACAATCTTCGCCATCGCTGCGCCCACCAGCGGGCGCGGCGGCCGCCCCGAGCTTGGTCGTCGCGCAAGGGCACCTGTCGTCGGGCGTAATCTGGGGCTGCTCTGTCGCGTCGCGCGCCACTTGCCCCGGCTTGGCCCCCAAGCGACGAGATCATGCGTGGGAGGGCGTGGGCGTCGGAGTCGGTCGTTGAAGCGCGGTCTTCGTCGCCGTTGCCTTGCGCAGCGGCGACGCTAGGTCCCTCCCGGGATTGGAAAGAATCGAGGGGAACGGCGGGGGTGATGTCGTCGCCAGTCCACTTCCACGTCTACCCCGAGTGCGCGGCTGATCGTCGCAATTGTTCTGTAATGGCGCGGCTCGTTCAAGGGCCCGTCCCCAGGTGGGCGGCTGATCGCCGCGAACGCAGAGGAATGAGGGGACTCGCGGCTGGCAGGAGGGGGGAGCACGCGGGCTAGGCGGTCGCCCCGATCTCGGTTCGGTCGCGACGCAAATCTGGCCGATCGCGGACGACCCGATCCATTCCTGCCCCGCCGCCCTCTCACGTCGGGGGCAGCGCGGATTTCCCCCTGCGCCCGAACGTCTCCACGTGGCCCCATCGCTGACTGCAGGCACGGGGGCTCGCGAGGTGGGTCCTCCTGGCGGCCGGTCCAGCGAACCAACTACGAACTCCCACCCCAGGTCCT